TGTCTTTGAAATGTGAAGCTCATCCTGCATATTCATGTTAAACCTTTGGATTTGCACTTTTCTCGAGCGGTTTGATACACATTTACCAAATAGGGGAAATATAAATGTTTAATAGATTTACATCACTAATTGAATATAGTTATTGGTTTTACTCAAATATTCTAACTATACCAAACATACACAATACAGAGATGACTCGAACTGAGCTGTATTAATTCTCTTAAGGGTTCATTTACCGTCACATCCATTTTGTATTTTACAATAGTACTTTTAGTCTCTGAAAGGATAATGCTGTGCAGCCAAACACTTTTCAAGCATTCTTTAGTTTTCAAAGATACTGAATATATTTAGTTATGAAGAAATCTGTGTGAAATGGTGCACCAGAGTTGAAGACGATGAAAGAGTTGGAGACATTAGAAGCGCATCCTATCGTTATGGTTTGCTTTCTCTCCTCTATTTGTGTTGAAAAACCATCAGTACACATTCCTCCACAGACGCCATGTTAGACTGTGGTTATGAAAACACTCTTTATGTCTCTATATCAGCATCTTTACTGATGTGTGTTACATACTGTATACTGGGTGCATCCCTGCTACTTTGTGGGTAAATGGTGTGATGCCACGTTTAGTCGGGTTTCACGGCCAGCTTTCCTCTGGGGCTGCAGACGGTACAGAAACATTCGATGAATAAAGTGTCAGACAGGAAACATGTGAAAGCAGAGACAACAAAATACAAGAAAATCACTATCTTAGTTTAGCTTGTTAGCATAACATTTCAAGACTTTACTTTTGAAGGTATTTTGAATTTGTTTTAACATGATTATTATAGTCCAGATGAACGATGATGGGAACCGAAGTCCTCTGACAAACAGATTCATGGAAGGCCATCCAATAGTTGTTCAGGTGAATCAGTTTGGACTAAAGTGGCTGATTGTAGCCAACACGCACAGAACTAAAGACCTATAAGAAAGATAATCCATCATCTAATTCTCACGTATGCACTTATGGAATTTAAACTGTCCTTGAAAAACAACATTTTAACATTAGAACTTAACATAAAAATGTACCCTTCTTCCCTTCTTCTCTAAGGATCCTGACATTCCTGCGTATTACCTCAAACCGACCAACATGTGACTCACATTTCCACATATTGTGGAAAGATGAGCATTGCTTTGTTGCAACTCTGAGTGGCACAGGTGCCTTCTCCTGGGTGAGAAGCACATTGGCCGAGGACACCAGCCATCATTTAATCAGAGTGCCGCAGCATCTGCTCTCCGGTTTTTAAATAGATCGTATAAAGAGGCGAGGAGGACTGCTCTCAGTCTCTTCATGCCATCCATTCACAGCAGGAAACAAAAGCAAGCCAAACTGTATGTATGATTTACAGGTGCGTGTGGAGTTCAGCTGGGATACTGAGATGAAGGTTGTGATTTGTACAGGGGCCAATGCTTGCTAAAATCACCAGATGGCTGCCTGAATGAATGAGAAACTGAATGAGTTCGTGCAAAGACTCATTTCTGGAATTAAGTGGTTCCTATTCTCGTAACTTTGACCAAAGAGTAGTGTCAGTAAGGGGAGTCATGATGGCATGAATAGCCGCTTTCACACCAAGCACTTTGCCGTACTTAGTGCTCAGCACTTAGTACCCCCATGGAACTAAAGAGCAGATCGCGTTCACATCGGAATAAATTCCCTGAGGGAGGATTAGGCAAATGAAGCCGCTGACGTCACTTCTTCTTCTTCTTCTTCTGCTTTGGGTTTACTGGCAGGCCGCAAACAACTTCACGGCGTATACTGCCACCCGAAGTCCCCGGCCGGAAGTCCCCGGAGTTGGTGACTGGCTTCAGTAGAAGCTGCTGGGACTCCCAGCACCTTCCGAGTAAATTGCCAGAACGCCAACACCTCCTCATCACTCCACCGCTCCCATGTTTTTTTTTGTGTTGCAATAAGTTATTCTCTCTCCGTTGGTGCGCGGGGTGAATGCTAATGCTAATAATGCTGATGCAAGCAAATACAACGGCGGCCTCACAACATTTTTCAGAGTTTTACGGGGAGTGGTTTGCAATTCACCCAGCCAATCAGAAATTGGTACTTCTTTATCCCAAGACTACCACCTCTAGCATGCACTAAACATGGGGGTAATAGTTCTTTTTTTGGTGTGAACGCAAAATTCCAGGCACTATCGGAACTAAACGGTAAGTAAAGGGTAAAAGTACTCCGGTGTGAAAGCGCCTATTGAGTGGTAGAAGATGGGACTTATTGGCCGAGTGTAAACCTTTTTCTCCAGACAAATAGTGTCTATCTCAAACAGAACAGGTGCTGTAAGTCAGTCATGATGGAGCTTTGCCTCCAGGGTTTCTCACAGCTGTTGGTACAGACAGCGTTCAGTCTGCAGAAGATACTAGATTGATATATACTGTCAAAAATATCACAAAAAGGGACATTTTTCATTGTCTTCTTGTTGTTTGTACTTAACTTGTGGTTTCTTATTGAAGTGTCTGTTAAATATACATAGGGTGAAGCATATCACATAAATGTATGTTTTTAAAGCTATAGCCCTATGAGTTTAACTGTATTATTTTTACAATCTTTCTGGTGCAAATAAGTTTCTTCCCTTTTCTCTCTTTGCTTTCTGTTAACAGAACTTAATTGAAAGATAATTTACTTAAAACTACATTGATCAGCAGATCTGACAGCGGAACAATATACAGTAGTGTCTAGGGACATAAAGATTTAGACAATTTAACTTATCAGTATTTCCTTTTGTGGGTGACAATTAACACTAAGCACATCAAAACTAATTTTCATTTATTATTGCTTAAGCTTTCATCCCGTCTTGAAACAATTATCATTTCATGTTTTTTGAGGGTAGATGGAAATGACGGCCTTTAGACTGCAAAATGACACTGACTTTGAGGTAAATGGAGGCTTCCTGTATGTTGGTCACATGGAGCTGTAGTGTGAGGAGGCACAGAGCTCTCTGGACAGAGATGAAGAGGCAGAGCAAACGCTGGCTGTGCGCTGAGCTCAGATGTTCTGTCCTTCTGGCGATAATTAACTTTCACTGCAGGAATTTAACTGTGTGACACAGAAACCTCTGGCGCTCTGAGATGTCAAAATGTATGCTAGATAAAAGTTATACTCAAATGCTGTATGCACATTTTTGTAGAAAATAATATTTAATCCATTATAGGAGAAACAGTAAATCCTTTAAAAAGGTGTTGGGTGCAAAAGCCTGAAATCATGACAAACTTAATTATTTAATCCTAAAGCATCATCTTAAAAAAAACTCAATTTCTAAATAAGGATACTGCCTAGTAGTTTGTAACAAAGGCTTGCACTGTAGGAGGGACTATGGTGTCCACCTCAGAGGCCTCAAACTTTGTGTCTTTGGGAAATGTTGAGTGTGATTTATGAGGTCCTTCACAACAAGGAGAATATATCCATAGATCATGTGTCAGGGGTAGAGCACATTATGAGAACAGATACATCAACAGTGAGACCCTTATATTCAATATGTCATTGTGACGGCCTTGGATCTGTGTTAAAAAACTCAATATCATGAGCATGAATTGCCAGGACAGCTAGATTATCCAACGTTTAAATTGTTATTCGCTTTAGACCATGCAAAACCTGTCCTTTGAAATTACAATAGAGGCAAAAAAGAAAACATCTATTAGTGCCACTTTGTCTCCCCATGTAGTGCCAAAGCTCGTCGGTTTTATGCTGGAGCCTAAATTGTCCATGTTCGTCCTTTTTGTTATCATGGTTTAGTTTGGCTTAAGCCACATTTGGAAACATAACATGATGTACTTTCTTGCACACAACTGAGAGTCCCAGGTGTGAGTTTGTTTATGGGTGAGTGTGCTTATGTTCATGCATGTGTTCATGTGCACCTGCTTTATTCCTTAAAACGTGAGAGTCTATCAAAACCGTTTAACTGCAGATAACGTCCTCTCCTGACTGAGGGCTGGATCTCCCGTTGAGATCATCTTTACATGGTTTTTACTCTGCCTCATTGGCTCGTTATAATGATATTAGCACATTGCCGAGAAACCTGCTTTTGTCTTGACCGAACATATTGTACAGTAAAGGTTAAATGTGAGCTCCAGGGAATTTTCCATTAATGCATTTTACTGTGAAATTAAATTATGGTACGAGGCTCTTAAATTATCACCCACATTTTCCAGCATACTTATTTGTTCCTCCTCCTTCATGATTTAATTGATTAAGTAGCAATTTATCCTAACCATTCTGGCCTTTAAAAGATGTCTCACAAGAGATGTCCCTTCACAACCCCTTTGTATCCTTTGTCAAAAAATACTATCCTCTTCTACCTCCATAGAGTACATCTCAAAGGAACACTTGCGTCATGTCTTTTACCTTTCTAACCTTTCAGAACTTTTACTTGTCTGTGTTATTTATAGGCTATAAATAACACAGAAAAGTAAATGAATACTAAATAAATCAGTTTTCCTCTTTATTATTAGGTTGGCGATTATCGTTTACTCCATGAAACGTCAAAGAAGGCCAAACTCCACAAAGCTATACGTGACAACAGAAATTGCAAATACCAAACTTATTTTTTGATAATAATAGTTAACAATGATATGTAACAATGAGGAAAAGGAAATCCTTTGGCTGGAATAAGAAACACATTTTAATTGTTGAATAATAGTGTGCATGTTCATCTAGTAGTCAATGTAATGTCAATGACTAAACAATGTTAAAAGTACAATTGTAATGAATAGCCCAGCATTAAGTTAACATTTGAGAATGCAACACATTAGCCTCAGAAGGCTAGCTTGCTTAATGGCTTGGCACTAAATTGATTGTAGATCATAAATCTAATATTTTAAATCGCAATCAAGTGGACTCGTCTCAATCTTGGTTTGGATACAGATCTGAAAATATGATGGATGCAACGTCAGTTAAACTGTAGTTGCTATGGCACTTTACCAGTAGCAAGTGCCATAGCAACAGAATGACCAACTGCCAGTCTCAGAACACCATCTGTACACTACAAATAAACAAGATGACTTCATTAAGGGTCTCTAGATAAATACACAGATGGATACACACAAATACAATTCTGGATAGCAAAGGTCCAGTCAAATGTGGCTTTTCAAAAATAAACTAAAATATTTCATTTAATCAGATTAGTATCTGAAATTTGATTTGAAACCAGGGATACATAATCTGTAACAAGCTGTATAGGGATTAGTAGAGGCTGTTCATCAACTACATCTGAAGAGAAAATGTTCTTCCGTTTCAAAACAAAGCATTGATTAGATTGAGTTAAATTCTTTAGCTTCCTGTTGTATGGTGGATTACTCAACTGCTCGCGTTTTTCCAGTCTATTACTCGTGCACTTCATGCCTCCGTTATCTTCTCTCCTGACTGATTCAAACAACGATCCGTTCAACCATCAAATCCCAAATCACAGGTTAGTTTACTTCCCTCAAACAACCCCCACTCCCAGAGTCCATCTGTCTCACCCGCTGACATCAGAGCGTGTGCATTGTTGGGGTCAGTGCTCAATAGATATTCCCGAGCACAAACAAGAGTTCAGGACGGCCTGTGGGCTATTATAGTTACTAGAAATGTTTGAAAAGCATTTTCAATTCTGAGGTCACTCTTTATACAATTGCTTCTACCAGATAACACAAGAGCACTCTATTTCTACTCAATTGTGCATAAATTGTTACATCTTTTTTTATCATTAAAATCTACCAGGAAACTGTTTTTTTATGAATCCTCTTGAAAAAAAGTATAAAAGAATAACCCTGTACGACCTTAACATCCTCTGCCCATTATAGTCTGTATTTCTACAGTTTATAATGCAACATTTTCCAACATTTTCATAACATCATGCACTGTCACTGCCAATATAAATGTGCTTGCTCTATACAATATATTTAGACATATTAATAATAATACAGTTCGTATAGTTAAGATACATTATATACACCTATGTACCTTTTTTTCTCAACATAAAGTACTTGTGTACATAATAGTCCTATCTATTCTTTACATTTAATTACGTGTCCAGCTTAGTGGTCCTTGTTCCTCAGAGGTTATGTCTATTTATTCAGTACATTCAGAGAAAAAAGTCAAATATCTAGGATATGTACTCATACTTGTCTAATAAAGCTCATTCAGATTCAGAAGGTTGATTGTTCAATCTGATAAGTTTGACAGGAACATACATTTAAGGTCTTGGTTGTATACAATTATTCTATATCATGGGTTGTTTCGTCTATTTTATCTGTGAAGATTAAATTAAAGTCAAGCAACTATAAACCCAGTTACAGCATTAGTGTCTCAAAGGAGATGCTTCTGGTTGTTTCACCATTTTGAATTTGCTTAATGATGGCCTTTGCCAAACATAAAGCCTAATTCAAGGTTTAAAATAAATGACAAGCTCTCACAGCGCCTTTCCTTGAGACAGGAGGGCCACCTTCGGCCTGCAGGAAGACACTTCTCATTAGCTCGCCTCAGCATTTCCACAAGACAAAGGCCACAAGACTCGTCATATCTACAGAGACAATGCAGAGGTGGCGCTTTGCCTGGCCCCTTTCCTCCTTCAAAGTAGATTAGATGAAAGAAAAATCGCCCTGCGGACAAAGATAATCTGCAGGTTAAGGGGGAAACGTGAACTGTGCAGAAAGTCTTTCCTTAGGAGCTTTTTAAAAAGAACTTCCACTTTGTGTCCCTTTTTTCTAGATGTCATTAGGACTGAGTTAAAAGACTCAAGCAAACAAAAGGTCATTGATTCATTTGTGCTAAAGGGTTCGCTCATTTAACAGCCTAAACTCAAAGCACTAGTCTCTGGCAGATTTTCAGCTGGATTCATGAGCGTTTAGCCTGGCAACTTTAAAGAGTGGCTTTACTGAGGAAAAGTGAAAACACGTGTTGACTATTTCTCAAACTTTACTCTTTGGCTTCCACCCAATTGCTTGCATGTTGGCATCACAGTCTGCGACTGTGTTGTACATAATGTGCTTTGGGCTTTACCTTTCCCACTGCGTCTCTTCTCATTGCTATTTTGGCTCGGACATTGCTAAACAAACTAACCTAAAGGCGCAGTGGGAATACTAGCTTGTTGTGCCTTTTATTTGAGAAGATGCCACATTCAGGGATGTTCGGAGTATACTGCCAGCCTCAAATATTGAAATCCTAAACTGATTACAAATGAACTGCCTCTTCCAAAAGGCAACGAGCCAAGTTTAAAGTCTGACAGCAAACTAAAAGATAAACCCATATCTTACTTTATTTGGTCCAATAAATATTCAGGACAGACTCTCTAAAACCTTTATCAAAGTGGACAGGTCTACTGCTGCATTGCTCTGTGTTATTGAAGTTGAGAAACATCCTGCTTGTGTCCATTTAGGACTCAATGTGACCATCTCTTTCCAGGCCTCTGTTGGTCCCTGCAGGTGTAGCAGCCGATCATGCAATTACCCACCTCAGGCCTGCAGTGGTCTCCGAACAATCAATAACTACTGTTCACTGGATGGGGATCCAGCAGTGTCACATTTCTGAAATGTAGTACTGCAGCAAGTTACAGAATCAGATAAGGCAACATTTTGTCAGGATCTCCAGAGATATTGAGATGCCAGAGGCCATGGTGGTGAGATCTGACACTAACCCTAACCCTATTTAAAGGTCACCTGTTATGCAAAATCCCCTTTTTCATGTCTCTTATACATCAACATGTGCCCCCTCTGTGTAAAGAGATTCTGAAAGTTTCAGGAAAAAAGATTCGCTCTCTTTTTGTCCTGATCCATTTCTATAAAAACCTGTCTGAAAATGAGCTGATCAGATTTTGGCCACTTTATGATGTCATAAC